GGCTCGAACTCACGGACCGCGAGATCGTGACCTGGCTGAAGTCGGACGCTTAACCGACTGCGCCACCCAGGCGCCCCCAAAAAATTTTTTTTTAAAAAAGAATCTGTGCTCTTTCTTATACCACACCACTTATTACAGTGAGTTTCTAATCCTCATTTTAGGGAAAAAGATCATTCAGTTTTTCTTTGTATACAGCTTTTTCTTTAAATTTTTTTTTTTTTCAACGTTTATTTATTTTTGGGACAGAGAGAGACAGAGCATGAACGGGCGAGGGGCAGAGAGAGAGGGAGACACAGAATCGGAAACAGGCTCCAGGCTCTGAGCCATCAGCCCAGAGCCCGACGCGGGGCTCGAACTCACGGACCGTGAGATCGTGACCTGGTTGAAGTCGGACGCTTAACCGACTGCGCCACCCAGGCGCCCCTACAGCTTTTTCTTTAAACAAAACATTTTTTAATGTTTATTTATCTATTTATTTATTTATCTATCTATTGAGAGAGAGTACGCGCGTGAGCACGCACGAGCTGGGGAGGGGCAGAGAGAGGGAGACAGAATTCAAAGCAGCCTCAGCGTTCTGAGCTGTCAGCCCAGAGCCCAACACGGGGCTCGAACTCACGAACTGTGAGATGGTGACCTGAACTTAAGTCAGATGCTCAACAGACTGAGCTACCCAGGCGCCCTAAACAAAAAAATTTTTTAATTTTTATTTATTTTTCAGACAGAGACAGAGAGAGCAAGTGGGGAGGGGCAGAGAGAGAGGAAGACAAAGGATTTGTGCTGCCAAACCAAAGCCCGATGCAGGGCTCGAACTCAAGAACAGTGAGATTATGACCTTAGCCAAAACCAAGAGTCGGATGCTTAGCCAACTGAGCCTCCCAGGCACCCCTCTTTGTATACGTCTTGATTCTGTTTTCAAATTCACTTTGTGATTTGTAAACCTGCAGTGTATTTATGTAGTGATAGCAAACACTCTAAAAACTAAACTGAGCTATGTCAGTGTTACTCTCTCAAACTTGCATCCCAACTATTTTTTGCCTTTTTGCTTCAGAAACCACATAAAACGTACCAGGAAGTATTCATACGGCAACATCCCAATTATCTGCAGTTTTACCGATTAGCACCACAGTGGACTACAAGTCCTCAGGCAGAAGTCAGTGAAAGCCAAGCTGCCTTGAAGAGTTGAAGACATCAAGCTCTTTGAAACACTAGACCGTCCTACTGCCACCTAGATCTGGAGACTAAAGACACTGACTGGTTAGCAAGCCAGTGGGATAACAGCTCCATGTGTCAGGCAGAGTACAGAAGAGTGAGCAGAGAGGGCCGGGAGGGAGGAGAGAATAACTCCGGAAAGAGGAGGAAAGCAGCACGGGGGGCGGGGGGAGTGGAAACCAAGGCAAACTAGAATATCCAGAACATTCCAAGACCATGCTCATTGATAAGGATAGGATCATGGCTCCCTGGCTTCTCACGTAGATACCGAAAACAAATGCAATAAAGAACACATAGATGTTCAGATGAACTCTTATTCAGAAATAGAAAAAAACTATTATGTTTCTTAAAGGTATGTAGCCAATGCATTATAACGGGGTCTAAAATCTGACCTTCTGCTTGCTAAAAATCAAAGCATAAAACAAGACCTTGTTTTTCTTACATTGCTCAGTTTACCAAAGTCATCAGAAAATAAAGTCACATATTTAACAAGTGTTTGGTGACCAACTTTTAATATACATATTTAATTTTCAGAAACATATGCTAACCATCAACAACATGATCAGGGTTCCATTGCCCCAGATGTTATTTCATTGGTACATTATATCAATATTTACAAAGGCTTTCAAATTCAACAACACAAAACAGAACAGCTTAATTTTTAAAACTACAATGCTTTAAAAAAATGTAAACAGTTCATTTTTACATTATTGTAAAAAAGAAGACTCACTCCTTAATGCGGCTTAATTTTTTTAAGTGAGCAAAGCCTGGTGCTCATGGATAAAGAATGAAAAGAATCCTTTACATAGAAACATTGTGCTCCAGTGTGGCAAAAAAAAAAAAAAAAAAAAAAAAAAAAAAAAAAAAAAAAAAAACAAACAAACAAACAAAGAAAAAAAAAGAACAAAGGAAAAGAAAGAAAAAGGCAAAAAGAAAAAAAAAGAGAAAAAAAAGAGAAAGAAAAATTATGTATATATACATACAAAGAAAAGAACCCTAAGTTCACAATTTAGACCACAAAAAAAATCTTGTCTCCAAATTGAGAAATTTATAAAAACCATTTACACATGGTTGTTGACCTATTGAAAACCTGTATAACATTTTCAAGACAGTAACTCAGTCAATACCACTTCTCTGAAAAATGAAATTCTGTGCAAAAGAAATTGTTTAAGCTAGAAACAAGACTCCCCCCCTCCCTGTAAGGGGCCAAAAGGGCCACTGAAATAATTTAACTCTGTTAGATTTAGTGCATGTAACCAAAAGGCACACACATGTGATTAATATATTAATATATTTTCATGCAGAAACCTGTGCATGTTCACAATTATATAACAAAAACACAAATATGACAAAACATAAAGCCTAATGTTTGGCAATGTTATTCTAGCCACATTTCTTTCTAATCTATCAGTCCAAGGTTTAGAGCTCATTAACACTGCCTCTCAAAAAATATATTATATTTGAACAACTTCCAATAAAAATTAAAAAAAAAAATGTTAGCCTGAAACAGTATATTTTTTTTCAGTTCTGATACATATAGAAACTTACTGATATGTTTATTTTAAATGTCATTTCAAATTAAGATACATTTTTCCTTTTGTTAATAAACACTTTGATAGCTCCAGTGAAGTCAGCAGAAAGAAGAACTTCTGTATTATCTGTCTTCAGAATACCTTAAAAGCATAAAAAAAAGTCTTTAGTTGATTTTAAAGGAATGCAGAGCCTGCCATTATAAGTGTCACACGCTCATGACCCCACACCCTTTCCCCACGTTTTGTCTTTTTTTTTTTTTCTTCAAGATTTTAAGTAATCTCTTCACCCAACATGGGGCTCGAACTCACAACCCCAAGGATCAAGAGTCACACGCTCTATTGACTAGGCCAGCCAGGAGCCCCATGGTCTTTCTTTTCTAGCTCGGTCCTGTAGTCCTTTCACTCTCCTGTACCTCTCCTCCTCTGTGAGGCTCACTTCCCCTTACCATATCTTAGCTGGTCTTTCCCTGGCTGGGGGATTACAGTCGCTAGGGGCTGGATGCCTGGATTCACTGCCAGGCAGCAGAGGCTTCGAAACTGCCCATTGCTTCACTTCAGGGCAAGAGGCTAGTGTGTGATTCAGCCCCAGAAATGGAACGCTGGCAGCATGGGATCAGCTGGGTAAGTGTGTTGCTAACAGGGGTCTCTAATGAGGTTGACAGTGAGGTTCACTGTCGGGCAGACATACTGAAATTGCCATGAAATGAAGTACATACGATCGCTCTGGGAATGCTGACAGAGACTTTTTGCCTCTATGGTTTGTACTGGAGAGCTAGGTAGCTATGCTGAATGGCAAAATGCTTACCTCTTATTTGCCGTAAAAAGCATTTAACAAACAAAATTCTCGACCCTACTATGCATAGGCAAAAACCGTAGATTTATGAAGTACTGATTAATAAGGAAGAAAATAATCTAAACTTTAATTGGAAAGTTGTGCACAGAACGAGTTAAGACCAAATGGCTTCATTTAGATTTGCTAAAAACACATCCTAAGCCTGTGAACGTTCCTTACCACCCTTTGGCGTATCTCAAAGTTGTCCCATGCGGCAGTAGCAGCAGCAAAGGACTTGAGATATGAGACATGAGAAAGGCTAGAGAAAAAATAATTCGTCATGTACAGATAAATGCTTTATAAGATATGACAATAATGAAGATGACTGTTCTACGCACCAGGCATTTTGCTAGACACTTTATATATTATACATTCTTTTTAGTTTTTATTACAACCTTATAAACTAGGTATTGTCACTATTTTCTACATGAGGAAAAATGAAGTGTAAATTGCCAACTATGTCAGAAATAGAGAGGGCAATCAGATATATTTTATGATTTTATACCACGAGTTTCAGAGTTTATTCTTAGATTTTACCTCAATAGGTACAAAACGGCAAACAAAATCTGAGTATCACACATTAAAAGTTGTGCCTTTTTAGAAAGGACCCAGTGAGTTAACTGAACCTTGTTAATATGGTGCAGTTTTCTTTTAATTTTTTTTTTTTAATTTTTTTTTTTCAACGTTTATTTTTTATTTTTGGGACAGAGAGAGACAGAGCATGAACGGGGGAGGGGCAGAGAGAGAGGGAGACACAAAATCGGAAACAGGCTCCAGGCTCTGAGCCATCAGCCCAGAGCCCGACACGGGGCTCGAACTCACGGACCGCGAGATTGTGACCTGGCTGAAGTCGGGCGCTTAACCGACTGCTCCACCCAGGCGCCCCTAATTTTTTTTTTTAAAGTTGGATTCATGCTCCCACAGAGCCCAATGCACGGCTTGAACTCATGAACCTGAGGTCAAGACCTGAGCTGAGATCAAGAGTACGACACTTAAACCAACTGGGCCACCCGGGTGCCCCAATATGGTGCAGTTTTGAAAAGTTTTTTTAAAAACTTTTTCGGGGTGCCTGGGTAGTTGCTCAGTCAGTTAAGTGTTGGGACTCTTGATGTGGGCTCAGGTCATGATCTCACGGTTCAGGAGTTTGAGCCCCGTATCAGGCTCTGCGCTGACAGTGCAGAGCCTGCTTGGGATTCTCTCTCTCTGCTCCTATCCTGCTCTCTCTCAACAAATAAACATTAAAAAAAAAAAAAAAGCCAGAAATTTCAGTGAAATGTATACAGGAGTTGCATAGAGTTTCTATAAAAAGGTATTACTGGGAGAGAAAAAAAGAGAAGAAGAAAAAAACCCAAATGCCTTAAAAGAGAATGCCAGATCTGATTCAGAGAAAAAAAAAAAAGACAAAAGAAAAAGAAAAAAAATATTTTCAAACAGGCAGTTTAGTAAAGGTATTCCTGACTTGGTGTCTTTTTAAATCTTGTGACTGAAGGGAGTACTAGGCTGAAGTTGATCCCTGCTCTTACAGACAGAAGAAATACTGTATTCTGTGCAGTGCACCGTGCAGTGACACCACAAGGGAAACCACCTGAGATTAAATGAAGTAAAAATACTTGAGAACTCTGAAGTATTCAAATACTTTAAGAAGCCCCGTTTGTGCACTGTATCTTCTGTTGTGTCTTTAAAAGTCTCTAAAAGGCCTAGTTGTAGGCTGTAGAACAACAAAGGGATTTAATAAACTATTCTGGAACTCGTCTTAATAATACAGATTTGTTAACAACTAGTCCAAATTTAAACGGTCTCACCATACACTTAAGGACTAGCAGGGACCATTTTTATATAATTGGCACCGAATACTACTTGTTGGTGGTTTCTTTTCACTTCCTAATCTGATCATTTTATATAACTGGAATTACTCCTCATTTCTCTAGGCGTATACTGCAAATCACAGGAAAGCAAAGGCTTGTAAATAGCTACGTATCTGAGAAGTTACAAAGCTATAAATTTGTGGCAAGTAGAAAAAGCACTGCTTTCATTTTGATTTAATTCATTTGTTCAACACATGCTTATTAGGACCAAGTAGAAGCAGGCAAGCGCTGTGCTAGGCCCCGGCAGTCCAACAATACACAGGACATAACAAGTCTCTGTTCTCAGAGAGGACAGTCTACTAGAAGAGGCAGATAATAAAGAAATTTTGTATTTGTATGCCTTGTTAGCATTTTTCCAAGGGAAACAAATGCCCGTAAAAAAATTACGAACTTTCAAAATTTTCATTTTTAATTCCCAGATAAATTTAAATGAAGTAAAACTCGCAAGCAATAGGTTACTGAAATAGTCACAAAGGGATACAACCATCACGTTGTAAATAAGAAGTATTCTTTGTACTCATGAAAACCTCATAATACCCTATGTAGGTCAATGAGACTACTGAGTGCTGGCTAGAGAAAATGTAGGACAAACAAAATAGGAGTACCTACCAGAGGGCATGGTATCCAAAACTTCGGCGTCTTCACCTTTTTCGTTCCCTTCTGACTTTTCAGATTGCACATCCAAAGACAACATCAAACTTGGGTTTGGAGCAAAGATGGCCGACGTAACAACTGCATTATGTGCTGGGGAAAAAAATTTACTTCAGATTAACTCATAAATTTGATTCTAAACATCAAGACAAAAAGTGTCATATGCAAAAAATATAATCATGTATGTTTATGTTAATATCCCAAAAGTAGGGGTACCTGGGTGGCTCAGTTGGCTAAGCAGCTGACTCTTGATTTCGGATCAGGTCATGATCCCACAGTTCAAGGGATCAAGCCCTGCGTCACACTCTGCACAGACAGTGTGGAGCCTACTTGGGATTCATTCTCTCGCTCTCCCCCCCCACCCCGACCCCCCGCCTCTCCCCGCTTGTGCGTGTGTGCTCTCTCTCTCTCAAAATAAACACTGAAAAAACAAAACAAAAGGATATTCTAAAAAAAAAAATACCTCATACAAGCGTACCTCAGAGAGATTGCAGGTTTTGTTCCAGACGATTGTAATAAAGCAAATATCACAATAAAGCAAGTCAAATGATTTTTTTTGGCTTCCCAGTGCATATAAAAAAATATGTCTACATGTACTTAGTCTATTAACATACAACAGAATTAGGTTTACAAAAACACTGTACATACCTTAATTAAAAAATACTTAATGCTAAAAAGTAGTAACCATTATCTGAACTTTCAGTGAGTCATAATCACTGATCAGTTCACCATAGCAAATATAACAAAAGTTTGAAATATTACAAGAATGACCACAATGTGACAGAGAGACACAAAGTGAGCAAATGCTGTTGAAAAAAACCTCCCAATTTGTAAAAAATGCAGTATTGGCGAAGCACAAAAAAATGAGGTATGCCTGTACAAATTCTGAGATTCCATGACCTCCCAAATTTTAGACAAGTATAGGTTCTTCCTTGGTATGGAGAAATCAAACAAAGCCGAATACAAAGCAAAAGCAGTTATAACTGCCAAACTGTCTCTGAAACAAGGCCTATACAAATTTACTCATAGTACACCTCCACTTTAACTTTATTCGCTTAAGAAGTCACACAAAAGTAGGCATTTACTTACCTTTAATACCTTCCCAAAAGTCATTACGGTCTCTCCTGACTGAAGTAAACTTGCTGAGGTCATGGTAAGTACTCCAGATATAAACATACTTATCTTCTGAGCCACTGACAAGGTAACTAAAATCATGGCTAGATTTGGGAAAGAAAGAAAAAAACCTCAGTTTGGATTTTTTTTTTTTTTAAGTTTCCCTCTATGAGTGCTTCTTCCTTGAAAATACCTAAGCAAACACCCGAGAGAGCTTGTTGAAATATAGACTCCTAGTCTCACTCCAGAGGATCCGAACGTGCAGGTTTGACACGGAGGTCAGAGGCGTGAGGATTTTCGTTAAAGCTCTAGGTAACTGTGCTGCTAGCTAACCCACACTGGGAGAAACGCCCACGTGAGACAGGAAAGAGAGGAGAATGCTTTACCAGTTACATTTCCCGGTAATTACTGGGTAATTCAAGAAGAAAGGAGAACCGTGAAGAAAAGGGCTGAAAGAAAGAGGGCTGTAAGGAAGAAGAGGCAGTTCTTCCAGGAGAGTCTCTAGACCCCAAATTAAGAGTTCAAATAATACTGTCATGCAAAGGCGTAAAGACAGGATACTGTACTTTAGGGTGTTAAAAATGCTTTATTAGCTTCAGTACCTAAAAGGATAAAGACCATGGGTGGGTGGCAGATAAACTTCCTCTTAGAAAGCTTACATAATAAAGTACAGATGCACAAATTCCAGAGCTGGGAGTCTTCTAATCCTAGCGCTGCCACTAACCAGTGACTTTAGACCAGTTACTTAATTTTCTGAGTCTGGGTTTCTTTGACAGCAGAATAGGGGCAATTCTAACTGTATCTACTAAACAGGTGGATAAGGTAAGTACTGAATGATAATAACAAGAGACAGCAGTTGCAAAAGTGCGAAGAAACTAAACATAAGGCACAGATCAAAGAAAATATGGGAGCAGGGGAGAAATAGTCTATCTCTTTTGGGAATTTTTCATTGCCGATTTACCTGAAACTTGCTTTGATCTGGCTGCTACTGTTGACATAACCCTTATACTTCATGGACAGTGACAAATCTCTAAGATCATATAGTCTGATTCTGGAGTCATTTGAGGTTACCAGTATCTAAAAATAAATTAAAGAAAAAGTTAAAAATATCATCTTTTAATCTACGTTAAGGTATAACCAAAAACGGTATTACGTACACATATATAGCGAGAATATACCTCACAACTACAAAATGCTGTATTTCACATGAGAGAAAATATATTCCTAAGCCAAGGTATTAAGAGTTTTCAGGAGTCTATATATAGTGTGAAGAGAGATGATTTTGAATACTTATTACCTTATTTTCTCCGGGTAAAGGTTCAATGCCAGTAATTTTTCTTCCAACTTTGTTGCGTCCTCTGGTAGATCGGACATGTATTTGTGTGTGGTATTTCAAATGCTAAAAAGAAATCACAAATTTAAAACATGAGAATAAGAAGGAACCTCAAAGATCATCTGATCCAACTTGTAGACAGACACGGTATTATTTGCCCCAATTTATAAAGCCCAGAGAGGATACACCAAGTTTATATAAAACCACTAAGTATTCCATTATGTAATTTATACAAGATAATCATTTACCTCGGTATCATAGAAAATACATCTGCCATCATATGTCCCAATTACTGCGTATTTGCCATTCTGACAGAAATTCGCAGCTGTGATCAATTTTGTTTGACCGTCTACTTCATTCCATAAAGCCACTTTTTTGTCAGGTATGTTCCAAAGGCGGAGCTTTCCATCCAATGACCCACTCAGAAAATACCTGTCATCCTAAAAATGTGGCAAAAGAAAAAGCTTTCGTTTTACCAGATCAAGAAAAATTCATTAGTGAATCAAAACATAAAGCCTATTAGGAAATAATGTTGAAAATATGTAGATCCTGAGACGCCTGGGTGACTCAGTTGGTTGAGTGTCTGACTTCGTCTCAGGTCATGATCTCATGGCTCCTAAGTTCAAGCCTCGCGTTGGGCTCTCCATTGCCTGCACAGAGCCTGCTTTGGACCTTCTGTCCCCCCTCTCTCTCTGCCCCTCCCCTGCTTGTGCTGTCTCTCTCTCTCAAATAAACATTAAAAAAAAATTATTAAAGAAAATGTAGATCCCATTGAAAAAATATTATTCTTCAAGCATTATTTTTTTTTTTTTTTAAGATTTTCAAGATTTTTAAGTAATCTCACTCAACGTAGAGCCTGAATTCAAACCCTGAGGAGATCAAGAGGGCTCGGTTGGTTGAGGGGCACCCAGGTGGCTCATCTGGTTGAGCGTCTGACTCTTGATTTCGGCTCAGGTCATGATCTCACAGTTTGTGGGTTCGGGCCCTGCAATGGGTTCTGCGCTGACGGTGTGGAGCCTGCTTGGGATTCTCTCCCTCTCTGTCTCTCTGCCTCTCCCCTGCTCAGGCATGCTCTCTCTCTCTCAAAATAAATAAACTTAAAAAAAAAAA